ATAGTCCTTATATGGACTGAAACAGGCATCACACCAATGGAATCATGAGTTTACTATTAAGCTACAACAATATGGCTTCCTACTGTCAAGTCATGATCACTGCTTGTTTATCATGTCTACATCCAATTTTTTCGTAGCACTTACAATGTATGTAAATGATGTCTTAATTACTGGTTCTTCTCCTGCTGAAATAGATAAAGTCAAGATATTCTTAAATCAACAATTTACTATAAAAGATCTTGGCCAAGCAAAGTATTTCTTAGGCTAAGAACTTGTTCGCTTAGATGCTGACATCTATGTTAAGCAGCGTAAATATGCACTAGATATCATTAAAGATTCAAGATTGCTGGGAGCAAAACCTGCACCAACTCCTTTACCTAAGGGACACAAATTCTCTGCTACACAGGACTCTCCATTACTAGAGCTTGATCAGTATCGCAGATAAGTGGGGAGGTTGTTGTATCTTCGATTCACAAGACCTGATCTTACATATATAGTTCAACAATTAAGTCAGGACTCTCTATTACTAGAGCTTGATTAGAATCAGTGGGGAGGTTGTTGTATCTTCGATTCACAAGACCTGATCCACGGAAGACACATTGGGAAGTAACAATTCATGTAGTCCAGTATCTCAAAGGATGTCCTTCTCAATGCCTCTTCTTTTCTACTGTTAATGACCTTAAATTGGAAGCTTACTTTGATGCAGCTTGGGTATCTTGCCCTGATACAAGACGATCACTTACAGGTTATTATATTTTCCTTGGAACTTCTCTAATTTTATGGAAAATGAAGAAACAAACTACTGTGTCTAGATTTTCTACAGAGGCCGAATACAAAAGCATGACAGCTACAGTTTGAGTTACAATGACTCACTTACATCCTGCATGATTTACATATTTCTGTTCCTCTTTCTATTCAACTCTACTGTGACAATCAAACTGCTTTGCACACTGCACCAAGTCCAGTCTTCCATGGGCGCACAAAGCATTTAGAAATTGATGGTCACTTAGTCAGAGATAAATTCAAGCAAGGATTCATCGTGCCTAAGTATGTTTCAACTCGGCTACAAGTAACTGATATCTTTACAAAATCCCTTGCTGCTCCTCTCTTCTTGCAGTTTGTTTCCAAGTTGGGCTTATACGATCTTCATAAAGCTTCAACTTGAGGGAGGGGATGTAAACTTAATTAGTTAGTTAATCAGTTAAATAGTTAATCAGTTAGCTAGTTAAAAATTAGTTGTTAAGTGCTAGTGCATCTCAGCAGATTAGTTTTTTTTCTCATCATTGTTGTAACTATATATAAATGAAATGTTAGTAAATGAAAATCATTGTAAATTAAATTATTATTGAATTATATTGCTAATTAACTTTAGTTAAAACAAGTTTTGACAAATAGCTTATATAGTCAATTATCTAGTTAATTACATTATTGATTATCAAATAAGTCAAAAAAGTTCCAATGTATTCATGCAGAGATCCAGCTAATAACTCCTTTACATTTTCTTCAGTCTGATCTCAGGAGCTATCCAACAAAATCAGATCAAAACCTACATAAATCCATAATGATGGGGCTGAAAATCAGAAAGTAAATATTGTTTATACTGATATCTAACAGAAAATTGAACCATATCGATAGATAACATCCCTACATGGTAGCTTCGACATTTAGAAAATCTTGAAAAGGTTCTCCGATCAAGATTTACCCATTAGACTTAATGACAAAACTAGGTATAACCAAGAGGAATGTACTTACTGATACGTAAGTGAATCTAGCATGCATCACAATGCACCTGAGTTTCAAACATTTGTATAAATCAGGAATGGTAGAGACTAGCAAAGTTGATGTCTCTAACTGCAACTGAGTAGGAACAAGAGAATAGATACAATGGTAATGCATCAACGTAAGAAATGAAATAACCATGACAGATTAATGGATGCATGAATATGATAGATGATGGGATACAATATTCACATACTTGACCAAGGCACAGACCTAAGCTGCTTCTAGTTCGAGTCGGGCACTAGAGATATTACAGAGATTGACAGGAGGAATGCTAGATTGTTACATTTTGCTTCTGACAAAAGGAAAAGATTTCTAGAGACCAAGATCATATACTTCCAGTGTCACAGAAGATTCACTGCTACGATAATTAAGAACCGGGATCAGGTTTTAGCATCCTGAAAGATGTCTGGGATGGAATCAAGTATAGCATTGCCATAAGGTTGTCATATTGCTTCAATGTTAACTATTTTTGGTTTACCATATGATGATGTATGAGTATAAATACCTCCCATCACCATCAACTCGTAAATTTAACCTCATCAGTTAAAAGAATGCAAACCCAGCATATATTATTCAATGAGAGAGAGAAAGTTTACATAGGATACAGCCGACAGCGGCTGCAAAATGAGCATGTCTTACCAACCATAAACTATGCAAGTCAACATACATAAGTCAACTATAGTCATCTTCTCAACAAGAAAAAGAGACAAAACCTATCCAACTCTTGCAGAGACTGAGAAAGAGAGTTCCATTACCCTCTCTAATTGATCATAATCACAAACTTCGCCATGAAAGTTTGATATAAGAACCCAACGATATATATCTTCTTTAGTATTTCAAAGAGAAGACTTAACTTCTAAAATCAAATTCTCACCCACTTGACATGGAAACCAACAACATATCAGGAACCTTAGGATATTTTCAGTTGAATAACTATTTAAACCTGACTCACCATATTAGCATAACACAACATATCTGGATATTAATGGAGTTCATTTCCACCAGACACGAACCAAAGGAACTTTAGTACCCAACAACAGATATGCTAAAACATTATATGTAAAAACGTTGCAGGAAAATTAACAATAAGAATTTGAGCTTTACATTACCAAGTATTAGATTCAGAGCAATATCAATAATTTCATATTCCAAACGCTTGACATAAACGTTCTCTACAACCCATCCACTATTAATACAAGTGAACAGGGCAAATGACAGAAATCTCACCTTTAAGCAGACAGACCGTAACATCCTATCAGTTCCGACCTAGCGGGAGGGATCTACAAGTAAATGTCTCCTTAAAGTCGGATTTTTTGGAAGAAGTAAATATAGAAGCATACACTTCCTTGTTTGCATGAGCCGGTGCCATATCAGCCGCTCTAAACTTCTTCACTGCAACACCTCCTTTAACATTATTCTCAACCTTCCCATGTCCTTCAACTTTCACAGAAGCCTTTCCTACGCTCCCATTCAAATCAGCCCCACGCTTCACTCCCCTCACTGCGGAAGACTCCAGTGCATCCACCTGCGCTCCATTCATCACAACAACTTCCCCATTCTTCGTCTTCTTAGCACCCATCTTCTTCTCCTTCAATTTTGCTCTCTCCTCCTCCATCCTCTCCCTCAAGGCTGCTACTTCCTCCTCACTGCCATTTATCACTATCTTATTTGATTCCGTGAATTCCTCATGGCATACCAAGCACGAGGAAGATTTCACTTCCTTCAACGCCTTAGCGCTCAATACATGCCCACAGCCCCTCAACGCGAAAAACTTATACTTACCATTAAATTCAAGCCCTGAAACTGGACACTGAAACCGAGCATGATAGCCGGCGCCGCCGCAACCCAAATCATCAGACCCTGGAATCGCTGTGAGCTTGATATTTACCATGTCTTTTAGCCCCTTTATGTACCCAAATTCCTTCGGCAATCTCTTCGACAGCAAAGCCTCGACTAACGCTTCTTTGTTGAATAAATTTCCCAATCGGTCGGTAACGCAAGGCTCTCTCAAGGGTTCACTAGATAAAGCGCAATTAAGCCATTTCGAGAGCCTCTGCTCATTAGGATCGACTTTATCCGGCTTTTTCTCCGCGTACATGTTGAGGTAGCAGTCGCGAGACTCCGCCCCGGTTGCGCCGCCATCACCACCTCCTCCACGGAGGCGGGGAAACAGAGTAAAGGTGGTGAGAGGAGCAATTTGGGAAATCGGGACATGATCGGATGCATTCAAGGTCATTCCATTAAAATAAACGCAGAAATTAAACAACGACGACGGATTAGGAAAGAGCGAAGAGGAGGAAATAAGAGATTCCAGGGTCAAGGGTCGGTTGAGATCTAGGGTTAGGGCTATTGTTCGTTGATGACACGGGGATTTGACGAAGATTTGAAGAAATTGGTCATTTAGGGTTTCGGGATGCATCATCGTTTGATTGATTCTACCGATTCTGAAATTATCAGAGATTTCAGATTTCAGATTGGGGAAGAAGCTGAATTTCCAGTGGTGGTTTTTGGGGCAAGTTCGAATCTGGGAATGAAGAGACCGACTTGAGCTGACAGCCAATAGCTTAAAATCCGATGGATTTATTGGAGTGGGCTCAACCCATTAATATTGGGCCGGATCGGGTCGGCCCAGTTCAATTGAAACGAATCGTACGGTTAAATCTTCGCCAATTGTCCGGTAAAAAGTTAAAAAGTAGAAATTTACAGTCCGGGCCCCACCGAATTAGTAAGGGGGGACCCACCGGGTGATTGGGCCAGAGATTAGGACTCGGCTGAAATGTGTGGTCCAAAATTAAAAGGCCACTTACAAAATACTTATGAAACACCGTCTCTTCTGCTACGTTCACATGCCGTATGTATATGTACATATGTATGTATATACGAACATATACGAACGTATGTATATATGTATATATGGTATGTAAAGTTCCCAACTACCTCTCGCTTCCCCATCTGTCAATAAAAATAAAATTTAAGTATGATGGTAATTTGGAGAAATGTGGGGAGGTAGCTTGTAAATTTATGGAGGTTATGTGTTATATGTATATATCTAGGGGAGGTGTATGTATTGGCACATCATTTCATGAGGAGTGACATCTTGGCTACGATTCATTGGCACATATATAATAGATAGAAGGATAAGAATCGTTGGAATACATACATATAAATCTATATATATATATATATATATATATATATAGATAATATGTCTAAAAATGACATGCCCACGAAGAAAAATGATAAAATTGACTAAACCCTGAAAAAATAATAATTATTTCACCATATACATATACATATACATATAATATTAGAAATCATATTTATTTCATCACATATATGTATACATATAATATTATAAAGGCTATATATGTGTATATATATATGTTACTGCCAGTAAGAGAAGTGTTTGGATTATAGTAAATAGTAGAATTTTAATATATAGTATTTTACAGACGTGAAAAAATTGTATTTGTTTTAATTTCTAATAGTAATAAATGGTATTTGACTGATAAATTTTGAAGTAAATTTTTAAATTACCAAATTAGTAGTATTTGATGGGCATTCTATTTATTTCATATTATACTCCTATCTAATTTAATTAATTTCATATATGTCATGATAATTAAAAATTTATTAAATTAATATGATGATATAAATAATTATATTTATTTATTAAATATAAAATTTTAATTTAATTATGTACAATAATTATTTATTTAAATACAAATATAATTATATTGATAAATAATTTTTTTTTACATACTTTTTTTATATTATTTACTATTACATATAATATGTAGGAGTAAATTAGTAATTTAGTTAAAAATATAACCATACCATACTATCATCCAAATAAAAATATGTTATTAACATATATTAATATATTATCATTGAAACGTAAAAATTTTTTGTCATTACAATCTTATATTATTGTCATTCAATTACTGTCATTACTATACATTAATTAACCATCACTGAAATTTATTCAAGACACATGAGATATTCTAATTGTTCTAGTGACTCATCATTCTATCTAAATATTTGAAAATAAATTCAAATATTAATTATATATATATATTGCATACATAATTACTAATTAAGCAAGAAAAATGTAAAAAAAAAAAATACCCAATACTAATTTGAATAATTATTTTAACAATTTTATATATTCATTAATTAATTATTATAAATATCTCAATTATAATATCACAATAAAAATAATTTTCAAATAAGAAGCACAATTCACGATTTTTTATTAAAAAAATAAACATAATTTACAGAATATATTTTTAAAAAATATATTTTTCATATATATATATATATATATTTTTTTAATGATGATTTATATATAAGAGAAACAGAAGAAATTGGAGATGTGTACACGTGTAACTCGCGGAGAAAACGAGGTTTAACTGAATTTCAATTTCTAACGGTTAAGTTTCTTGAAACGGTGCGCAGTTAATTGTGGTATTTAAGTAAATATCTAAAAACCAAAGGGTCAAAGTATTAAAAACAAAAAACAAAGAGGCGCAAACTAAAAACAAAAAAGCAGAAAAATAAACTTGGCACATTCTGCACCAGGCCTCGCCATTGTGGCTCAGCTTCTCCCTATATATAAGCTCGTTCATTCACCAAATACCCACCAAGAAACCATCACCAAACTCTGCTCTAACTCCATTACCAAGAACAAGGGCTCTTGGTGCCTGGTTCTTGATTTATAACCAGGTCTTTTGTGTAATTTTTGCTGGGTTTGATATTGGGATCCTGGGTTTGTTTTGTTCTGTGTTTTTGGTTGGCAATGGCTGGAACTGGAGTGTTCGCAGAGATTTTGGATGGAGATGTGTATAAGTACTACTCTGATGGGGAGTGGAAGAAATCTTCTTCCGGCAAGAGTGTTGCCATTATCAACCCAACTACGAGAAAAACTCAGTACAAAGTTCAAGGTAAGTTCATGCAGTTCTTGTGCATGTAGATATGTCTCTATGAACAGGATCATTGATTAAATAACTTTAGTTTTTCTTTTCTTTTCTGGGTAGATTTGAAATGGGTTTTTGCTTCTTTTGGAACTTTGTTATGATTTTAAGCAGTTTGAGTGGTGAAACAATGGTTTCTCAGTAATGTTCTTACTCTGAGATTTACTTTATGACCGTATGATTATGAAGAAGGAAACATTTCCTGCTTTCTTTTCTCTTCTTTTCATGTCTTTTTTTTTTTCTTGGAAACCAAGCGGTAATTAACACTGAAAAAATTAAAACTGACATGAAGATGCCTGATATATGTCTGTTTGTTCATAATTATATGATTTGGAACAGCTTGTACACAAGAAGAGGTAAATAAGGTCATGGAGCTAGCAAAATCTGCACAAAAATCATGGGCAAAAACTCCACTCTGGAAGCGAGCTGAGCTTCTTCACAAAGCTGCTGCTATCCTCAAGGAGCACAAAGCTCCCATTGCTGAATGCCTTGTCAAAGAAATAGCAAAACCAGCCAAGGATTCTGTGACTGAGGTATCTAAGTTTTGTTCGAGTTCTAATTTGGTTTTTCAAAAGAAAGATGACTGAGCTGTTTTGGGTTCATGAATTAGGTTGTAAGATCTGGAGATCTAGTTTCTTATTGTGCTGAAGAAGGAGTTAGAATTCTTGGGGAAGGAAAGTTCTTGGTGTCTGATAGTTTCCCTGGAAATGAGAGGACTAAGTACTGCCTTACTTCCAAGGTATAGTTTTTTCTCCTTTCTTTCTGGATCAATATGTGACTTGACTAGAATTCTGTGGTTTTCTGCTGAAGCTTGACTCTGAGGGGTTGTATTTTGTCTGGTACTATGACATGTTGAGATAAGATATTTTCTGCTAAAAGCCAAATTTTTGTTTAGAGGGTTGTTTCATTTTTCTTTTTGTTTCCCTTCACCATACTCCTTTTGTTTGTTTTTCACTTTCCTTTCTGTTTCCCTTCACCATAGTACAGTTTTCTCTGATTCCCAAGAATATGTAGGGGAATTCGGTGTCGTGTAATTCATGAAAATGTACATTTAGCTATTATGTTAAGGCTTATCTATGGCTATGAAAGGCAAGCTTGTGGTGTTTCAAGCTATGTTTAGAACAAATAACAATGTTATAGAATGTGGTTCTCTCTTTTTATATCCCAAAATGACTTGAATCTTAATTGAAATGTGATAAATGCACTAAAATTTACTAGCCAAGCCAGCTCGCACCAAGGTTTTATGTTACTTCAGCAATCTTAACTGTCCATAAAGGTTGATTCATGCAAATTAGCCAAGCAAAAGCAAATATTTTTCTTGTTAAATAAGCATGAGGATAGTAGTTTTCTGACCCTGTGGCATTTGATTTCCAGTTTGTGATGATAGAGATCTACACTTCATTATCATACAAATTTTTTTTACCTATTATCAGTTCAGTTTCTACCTAGTTTTTACTTCAATCTCCTATGGTATCAGTCTCTTCATTGTTGGGTTACTGGCAAGAAAATTGAACTATAATTTAGTGAGAAAACTAATAAGATCATGTAAAATGCAGATTCCACTTGGAGTGGTTTTAGCCATTCCACCATTCAATTATCCTGTTAACCTAGCTGTTTCAAAGATTGCTCCTGCATTAATTTCTGGAAATTCCCTTGTGCTTAAGCCTCCAACTCAGGTACTTTACCAATAAGTTATATCCCATTTAAACTCTGCAATTATATTATTTGATTTTTAAGTTGAGCCACTCTCTGTATATAAACTTTTTTATTTTCTTTCTTTCAGGGGGCAGTTTCTTGCCTTCATATGGTGCATTGCTTCCACTTGGCTGGTTTTCCTAAAGGACTTATCAGCTGTATCACTGGGAAAGGCTCTGAGATCGGTGACTTCCTTACTATGCATCCTGGTGTGAACTGCATCAGGTACATTTTCGTTGTTTCAAGCTCACGCTTGCTCCTGAACTTTCCTCTTGCTTTGAGTTACAACTAGTGATCTCTAACTATAGATTCTCTTTTGGTCAGTTTTACTGGTGGTGATACTGGAATTTCAATTTCCAAGAAGGCGGGAATGATCCCACTTCAGATGGAATTGGGAGGAAAAGATGCTTGCATTGTGCTTGAAGATGCTGATCTTGATTTGGTTGCAGCAAACATAATAAAAGGAGGATTTTCCTACAGGTAGACTGAGATTTGAACATTAGAAAATCAATGAACATCATGACATTACATAATATGAGATTTAATGACATGACCCAATTCCTCATTACCTTAAATTTCAGATCAGAATCAAAGAGCTCATATCCTTCAATATATGTATTCTGCAACTAAAATAATGTCTTAATATCTTAAATTCCTTCTGCATCTTCAACAGTGGTCAAAGATGTACTGCAGTGAAGGTTGTGCTAGTGATGGAGTCCGTTGCAGACGCCCTTGTCGAGAAGGTGAAAGCAAAAGTGGCAAAATTGATAGTTGGTCCGCCCGAAGATGACTCCGATATAACTCCAGTCGTATCAGAATCATCTGCAAATTTCATTGAAGGGCTAATAATGGATGCTAAAGAGAAAGGAGCAACCTTTTGCCAAGAGTACAAGAGAGAAGGAAACCTAATCTGGCCCTTGTTGTTAGACCATGTTAGGCCAGACATGAGGATTGCTTGGGAGGAGCCATTCGGACCAGTCTTGCCAGTCATAAGGATCAATTCTATTGAAGAAGGAATTCACCACTGCAATGCTAGCAACTTTGGATTGCAGGTACCATTCCAGCCATACGCTTCAAATAATTTGAGTTTCATGTGATGGTTCTCTGAATTTTTTAAAAAAATCCGAGAAAAGTCATACACTTCTAATAATTTAAACTTTAAATTTGTAAATTAGGGTTGTGTGTTCACGAAAGATATTAATAAATCGTACCATTCCAGCCATACGCTTCAAATAATTTGAGTTTCATGTGATTGTTCTCGAGTTTTTTAAAAAAGATCCGAGAAAAGTCATACATTTCTAATAATTTGAACTTTAAACTTGTAAATTAGGGTTGTGTGTTCACGAAAGATATTAATAAAGCAATACTGATAAGCGATGCAATGGAGACGGGAACAGTTCAGATAAACTCTGCACCGGCACGTGGACCGGACCATTTTCCTTTCCAGGTAAACTGATTTCTATCATCCATCATCTTACCAGGATCAAGAATCTTCAAAGCTACCTTTTCTAATTTTCTGTGCAATCTGATAAATTCTTCATTAACAAACAGGGTTTGAAGGACAGTGGTATTGGATCACAAGGTATTACCAACAGCATCAACATGATGACCAAAGTGAAGAGCACTGTCATCAACTTGCCAACCCCTACTTACACCATGGGTTAGTGCCACCCATTAGATAATATATATATATACACTACATACATAATCACAACTGGTAGTGTTTTAGCTGATTGTTAATTAATGGGTAATATATATATATATATATAAGAATATGTATGGTTAGGTAATGATGAATAATGGGTAACTATGAATCTGTGTGTGATCAAATGTACTACCTTCTTGATGAATCATGAAATTGATTCTCTCTGTTTACCAATTGGTTTAAGCTTAAATAATTTTTGGTCTGTAATATTTTATTTTAATCTTTCTGTAAAAAAATTTAGTTTCTAATATCATTTATTGAATAACAGGGAGTTTTTATCGGTCTCGACTTTGATACTAATTTCTTGTGTAATAAAAAATAATCTCTAAATTTATTTGAAATTTGGAGAAATTTTATCTACATCAAAATTAATATAATTTTAAGTGTTTTTTTCTTCTTAATTTTGAAAAAAAATTCATATTGTAATTATTAAAATTAAATTAAATATATTGAATCTAATTGTTTCGGTTATATAATTTATTTTTTGAAATAAAAAAAATATTTAAAAAAGTACTAAATGAGTATCACCCGTATACAAAA